GGTGAGTGTATATTTGTGCTGATAAGCCTGAGTGGTCTGTTGACCGACCGTTTGTTCAAATAATTGTTATGGGCAGGTTACAATATAAAAAATTGTTTGTCATAATCACATCTGATTATTTGACAGGAGTTTTACTTTTAAGTGTACTTAAAATACACTTACTTGTAAGTGTATTTAATTTAGTTATAATGTAAATACAATAAAAATTAAACCAAGCTTTAGAATAATTATCATTTTGATCCATACATTGGTAATGTCTGACTGGGCCTCATGCCACTTTATGTTCAACAAACTGGGCCTCGAGGTCAAAAAGGTTAAGAACCCCTGACCTAGGACCAACCTGCCACGAGAGACCATTTGGTGCACAAACTCCTCCACTACAATAAGGTGATGATTCAACAGAGGAAGATTATTTAATGTCTTGGATATTACACTGAATAATGTGGAAGGTATATACAGAAAATGCATTTGCATAACAACTGGGTTGCTTTTTTGGTAAAGAAAGGATTCAAGTATTTTTATTGTCATACCAGCTCTCATTTATATTTGTGGTATGAAATTTGGACTCAGGACAAGAAGCTTAACATTTAAATAATGAATAAACAAAAGAGATGAGACGAGGCTGAAATAAATTCGTCTTGAGTTCATCAGTCTGACAGCTGTGGGGTAGAAACAATTTCTGATCCTGGTGGTCTTGCTCTGGATGCTCCTCAGCCTGAGGGGAGAGGCTGGAACAGTCTGTGTGCAGGATGTGTGGGGTCCTTCAGGATGGGAGCGCCCTCCCCCTGCATCGTGATGTGTGTATGTCCGAGGTGGAGGGAAGGCTGCTCCCCACAGGCCTCTGTGCAGCCTTTACCACCCTCCGCAGAGCCATCCTCAGTCCTCTCTCACAAAAGTTGTGTATTTAAATTGTTGCTCTCAGCTGAGTGAGTGTTGATGCATAAAGAATGTATTTTATTGTACTGCAACTGTGGCATTTTGTAAATAAAATCAACTTTAAAAATGTTACAGAAAAACAGTAAAAAAATAGAAAAGAAATTTGATAACACAGCTGCATCTTTTTATTGTTATTTACCAGACATGCAGTGTCCACAGTACTATACTTGTTGTGTATATATATTTTATTGTAATGTAATATGTGTCACAGCTTTTGATTTCTGGGGCTGTTTAAATGTGTTTAGCTGTGACACGGTCTTTCATGGCTGACTCACCCTCACAACGTGGTTCCTTGCCACTCCAGTAGGGGGTGGTAGCGTTGCGGCACGTCAGCACACCTGAGCCCTGCAGCCTGTATCCAGTCAGACAGGAGAAGAAGGCCTCGCCTCCGGAGTGGAGACTGCTGACCGAGACGTCACCATGGAGGGGCTGCTGGGGGAAGGCACAGCTCAGCACGAAGGCTGCAAACACACACAAACAGGAAGGAATGAGTTAAAAACAACACAAAGACGGGAAGCAATGACGACACATGGAAGGAGAAAGGTTTGCCTGAATAAAGGAAAACGCTTGCTGTTTGAAATGCTGTGTGATGATGTAAAGTGCCACTCCACACATTTTTAGCCATATAATAATGTCAGCTTGTGTTTATCCCCGGCAGTGGCGGAGCCAGACGTTTTTCCCAGGGGTGGCCAGACTGGGACCACTGCTCACACAGGGGTGGCCAGACTGGGTCCACTACTCACACAGGGGTGGCCAGGAACATTACATAATTTTTTTACTTGAAAGTTTCTGCAGATCTTTGTGTTTTTGTCATTTCCTTATGTCCTTACAGGCAGTGACTACCTTACAAACATGGCCATCACAACCATTTTAAAAGTGGGTGGACACACTGTTGGGGGGTCAGGGGGTCCTCCTCCAAAAGATTTAGAATGAAATAGACGCCATTTCCTGCATTCTGGTGTATTTTACCAGGTTGTTAAACATACTTTTACCTACTTAAATTAACACTTGATTTAATTATTTCAGAGAGAAATTATTCATTAAACTAGTTCCATCATCCTGTTTTTAAACTCACTGCTACAGCTGAGATAAGATTAATTAATGTGACACAATTTATCATATCCAATGATTTAAAGGGTGTTTTTTGTATTTTTATATTGTTTATTGATTTATTTTTAATTGTAACACATGCCATTGTGCCAAATAATGATGACCYTCAACTGCATGTTTAAAACTAACATTATAAATTTTACCCAATGAATTTAGTGAATTTAGAGGGGTGTTTCCCTTTTTCTGATTTAGTGATAGGTCTACTCATAATAAACACAGAGCATCATGAAGCCTTCATAACATAAAATGATACTGTTATTGTGACAAAATAAAACCATTTGTCACCATAAGTCCAAAGGTTGACACCATAAGTCAGATTACAGGCAAATGTTCTGTATATAAATAAAACCATCACTTCCTTGTCATTACTCTTCTTCAGTGATAGAGCTTGGTGATGTTTCAAACTGTTAAACACTGCCACCAACTGTTCAGGAGGATTAAATGTTGTTTCACTGTGAAAGGGGTGTGTACAGTAGGGTGGCCAAAGATTTGTCTGTGGTGGCCCTGGCCATCCCTGGCCACCCCCTGGCTCCGCCCCTGATCCCCAGATCTCTGTGGCTGCAGCTGCTTTACATTCTGGCTGCATCAGCGTTTTCTTGTGTTCTGATCACAGCCTACAGGACAGTGACGTGCTGAGATCGAACAGACATCTGATATTTTTATGTGAAAAATCTGAAATTTGTAAGTTGTCGTACACAGAACATGAAGAACTTAAAGTTCTTGAGCCTGGTAACTCCAGTAGAGTGCACACCTGCTGGTTTTTATACCAGCGTTTATCAGGAGGATTATCAGAAAGATGAATTTATATTTACAGGTAAATAACATGAAGCACAATGTTGTAATATTGTAATTCCAGTTGTTGTTTTTATTCACCCTGTCCTTGATTACTGAGAATGTGCAGCACTTTGGAAGAGCACCATCAGTGTAGTGAAGGAGTATAAGATGTTCAGGAAACATGCAAACTACAGGAACCATGTTTGTTTCAGTTTCAGATGCAGAAAACAGACTCATGTCTAACAATATAAAGCTCCACTTGACCATCACACATAAAGCTGGGAACTCAAAACAAGCTGCTTAGTGAGAAAATAAAAGATTTATCTCACACAGAATTGATCAGATCTGTCAGAAGCCGTCACCTCTCCTGCCTCACACTCTGACAGGAGAAGTTTCTCAATTTGATGAGAAGCCTCAGTTCTTTCATCAGAAAAACAAAGAATGACAAAAAAGCAAATTCTTAAAAGGGCATGTGCTTATTTTAGACAGAGAAGACTATGACGGCGTATTAGGGCCAGTTGGCTGATGAAAAAAAAAGGAGGAGCAAATCTCTGAGAAAAAACTCAGAATTTCTGAGATTAATTTCAGAAATTTTCAAGAAAAAAAGGCAATTCTCTTATTTTGAAATGTCGCAAATTTGCGAGAAAAAAACTCAGAAATTTCTGTAATTATAGGCAGAAATTTGCGACATTTAAACTAGATATTTTCTGACATGGTAAAGTCAGAAATTTACAAGAAAATAAACTCATAAATTTATGAGAAAAAAACTGAAGTTTTCAGGAATGGCTAAAGGGCGATTCCACCTGTTTTCACTACCTTGAGCATCTTTAATCCGCTCTAATTTAAAAACTAAAACACGTAGAGACTTCAAACCTGGACAAGATTATTCTACACTGATTGCAGAATGTTTATAATGAAGTGTGTGATTTGTGAAACATATATTTGATATGTGAAGCTTAAGGAAATATGGTGATTTCAGCAATTTGTATGTAATTTAAAAATAAGCATGGCCGGATGGAGAGGTGAGAGAATTAGACTGAATCAATCATCCAAAATGATCATGGAGTCTAGAGAGAAAAATAATTTTCAAAATTCTATGCAGCCACGCAATATCACCATCAATTTCCCCCAACTTGTGGTGACAAGTCCTGTTTTGGTAACTGGATATTTCAAAATAAAAGTCTATGAATATTTTGAAATGTGTTTTTCTTTTTCTGTTGCGCGTGTTGCGATGTTCGTGTCTATGAAAATGGCTATTTAAATAAAGYTTACTGACTTACTTTTTGCTTCAGTCACTCACACCAAACACGTTTTGAGCGTCGGGGAAGTCAGGTTTAGGTACATGCAAAGTCAATGGTGGACTGTGGACGTGCGGATCAGCAGCTCGTCAGTGCGCACTTACAGTGGGTAAAATAAGTATTGAACACGTCAACATTTTTCTCAGTAAATATATTACTAGAGGTGCTAATGACATGAAATTTTCACTGGATGTCGGTAACAACCCAAGTGATCCATACATACAAAGAAATCAAACCATAATTGTCCAGAAATGAAGTTATTTGTAATAATGTGGAATGGCACAGGGAAAAAGTATTGAACACATGAAGAAAGGGAGGTGTAAAAAGGCATGGAAAGCCAAGACACCAGCTGAACTCTCTCAGTAATTAGAAAGCAAGCCTGCCCCTTGTCAGTGCAAGTTAATATCAGCTGGTTCAGTCCCAAATGATGGCCAGGTATCACACAAGAAMCATCTGATGATGGGTAAAAGTAAAGAGCTCTCTCAAGACCTTCACAACCTTATTGTTGCAAAGCATAATGATGGCATCGGTTACAGAAGAATGTCTAAACTTCTGAAGGTTCCAGTGAGCACTGTTGGGGCCAAAATTCAGAAGTGGAAAGAACATTATTTCACCATAAACCGACCACGACCAGGTGCTCCTCGCAAGATTTCTGACAGAGGAGTGAAAAGAATTATCAGAAGAGTTGTCCAAGAGCCAAGGACCACTTGTGGAGAGCTTCAGAAAGACCTGGAATTAGCAGGTACGATTGTTTCAAAGAGTTTGGAGGTGGGAACCTCATGGTGTGGGGCTGTTTTTCAGCATATGGTACTGGCAAATTTCAAATAACTGAAGGAAGGATGAGTGGAAAAATGTACAGAGACATTCTTGATAAAAATCTGCTTCCATCTACCAGGATGATGAAGATGAAACGTGGCTGGACATTTCAGCAAGACAATGAGCCCAAACACAAAGCCAAGGAAACTCTCAGTTGGTTTCAGAGAAAGAAACTAAAGCTGCTGGAATGGCCCAGCCAATCACCTGACCTGAATCCAACAGAAAATCTATGGAAAGAACTAAAGATCAGAGTTCATAGAAGAGGTCCACGAAACCTTCAAGATTTGAAGACTGTTTGTGTGGAAGAATGGGCCAAAATCACACCTGAGCAATGCATGCCACTAGTTTCTCCATACAGGAGGCGTCTTGAAGCTGTCATTGACAACAAAGGCTTTTGTACAAAGTATTAGATAAATTTCAGTAAGTGTGTTCAATACTTTTTCCCTGTGCCATTCCACATTATAACAAATAACTTCATTTCTGGACATTTATGGTTTGATTTCTTTGTATGTATGGATCACTTGGGTTGTTACCAACATCTGGTGAAAATTTCATGTCATTAGCACCTCTAGTAAYATATTTACTGAGAAAAATGGTGACGTGTTCAATACATATTTTACCCGCTGTATCTGATAAATTTATTATGAATTAATTATCTGGTAAGCGTGATGTGCTCTTATTCACAGTAAATAAAGCAAAACCACTTTCTTTATTTCATCTGCCATACACCTGCAGAGGAGGCTCTGGACGTGCGTCAAGGCAGTTTTGAAGAGCGTCTGTCTGACATCAAAGTGCACAAGAGTTCAAGCATTTGTGTGTTCTCATGCATTCGGTGTGAAGTTGATCGCAGTATAATTTCTCTCCGTCAGACCACGCTTGTTTTTAAAATACATAGAAATTGCTGAAATCACCATTTTCCCTTAAGCTTCACATATCAAAAATATGTTTCACAAATCACACACTTGGTTTTAAACATTCTGCAATCAGTGTAGAATAATCTAGTCCAGGTTTGAAGTCTCTATGTGTTTTAGTTTTTAAACTAGAGTGGATTAAATATGTTCAAGGTAGTGAAAACAGGTGGAATCACCCTTTAACCATTCCTGAAAAATTCTGCACTTTTTTCTCATAGATTAACGAATTTTTTTTCTTGTAAATTCTTGACTTTACCATGTCAGAAAATATCTAGATAAAATGTTGCAAATTTCTGCTTTTAATTATGGAAATTTCTGAGYTTTTTCTAGCAAAATTGCGACTTTTCAACATAAGAGAATTGCACGTTTTTTCTCGAAAATTTCTGAAATTAATCTCAGAAATTCTGAGTTTTTTCCTTGAAGATTTGCTCCTCCTTTTTTTTCATCTGCAACGTGGCCCTAATACACTGTTGTAGAAGACAGATGAGGGGGTGAAAGATGTTTACGTCAAATGAGAGAAAGCAACTTTAAAGGGATCCATGATTAGTTGTA